AATAAGTATACAACTTTTGCCTGGAACCTGGAACCAATCTGTTTTCCCATGTTCCGGCTGTACTGTAGCTTCCTAAGGTGTGTATATTTTGCATGAGGACAGTGAGAGGTTCTGAAGCATCCATTTTTCTAAGAACACTCCATTGCTTGACATGGTTGACACAATTGAAGGTTTTTCTATAATCAATAAAACACATATTTACTTTTTGTTTTTTGGACTTTCTCAATTATCCAGCATGCTTCAGCAATAATGTCTCATCTTCCCTGGCCTTCATCAAAGCCAGCTTGAACATCTGGCATCTCCCTTTCCATGTAAGTCTCCCTAATCTGCATTATTTTGCAAGCATATGAAATTAGGCATATTGCATGATAGTTGGTCTTTTTTTATTATTGGCATGTTGATTGTCCTCTTTCAATCTGATGGTCACAGTGCCATAATCCAGATTTTCTGGCATTGCTTGATTAGAATCATCTGGAACTAGGCAGGACCTAAAAAATTAAATTAACACCCTGCTGGTTGTATATAGTCCTGACATTCTGTTCTCATTTCCACCCTCCGCTCCAATAATGAGGTAGTCCAAGATTTGTGTAGTGTATGTGTGTGTATGTGTGTGTGTGTATACACATATATGAACCCCCTCACTCAGGTATTCACAAGGACTGGATATGGATACATGTTCAAGAATGGAACCACCATCAGCCACCACTTCTACACGGATGACATCAAGCTGTATGTAAATAGTGAACAAGATATCAACTCACTGAGCCACCTGACAATGATTTACAGTGAGAACACTGGGATGCCATTCAGACTGGAGTAGTGTGGCCAGATGGTTATCAAGATAGGAAAGGTAGTTAAAAATTGATAATGTAGAACTACCATCAGGCCACACAGTAGATACACAGACCAGCCACAAGTACCTTAATATCCCACAATCACATGGGATACCTCAATGAGGAGGCAAGGAAGGCAGTAACATCAAAGTACCACTAAAGGATAATATAGGTTCTGAAGAGCCAACTTTAATGGGAAGAACAAGATCCATGCCATCAACATGCTAGTCATTAAGATATCCTGCCCGTAGAGTGAGCTGGCCAAAGTATGATATGGGAACTGACTATGTGAACACCTGGAAGCTTCTCACAATGTACAAAGGCTTCACTGCAAGTCTCATATCCAGAGACTGTACACCAGTCAGAAAGAGGGTAAGCAGGTAATCCTGGATGAAACCTAGAGCATCCAGGAATACATCAGCAAGAGGACACTAAAGATGAGCTGCTGAGAGAATGCCTGAGAGAATGCCTGAGACAGCAGCAGGTGTGGGAGAAAGATCAAGCAGAGGTAATGCCATGGCAAGACAAAAGCCAATATGGGTTGTACCATTGACAGATAGATGAGTTGGCAGACACTGGGAAATCCTACCCATGGCTGGAAAGGGCTGGGTTGAAAGGTAGCCCCAAGGCGCTGGTCATAACAGCAGAAGAATCCTAAGGATCAGCTCTATAGAAGCAGGGTTGTACCACACTAGACAGTACCTGAGGTGCTGACTAGGCAGAGAGGCTTCAGAGACAGTCCAGGGTTTAATTAAGATGCAGTCAGGAATAACATATTCTGAATGGCATGATCAAATGACTGGTATTGTGTACAAGAACGTCTGCACAGTGTATGGGCTAGATCCTCCCAGGTCCAGATGGAAGATTCTACAGAAAGTTGTGGGGAATAACAGGGCTAAGATTCAAATCCAAACAGAAAGGCAGGTAATGGCCAATTAACCAGACATCATGGTAGAGGACAAGGATCAGAAGTCAGCAGTAGTGATAGCAAGAGACAGCAACATCTGGAAGAAGGAGTATGAGAAGCTGGAGAAGTACCAGGGCTTAAAGTAGGAACTGGAGTAGATGTGGTGGTAGGAGCACTTGAGAAACTCTAACAGATCCTAGGATCAACATCAGAGCTCTCTGTCCAGAAGAGTAAATGCTAGGAACAGCTAAGACATTGCACAGAACCCTCAAACTCCAAGGTCTCTGGTAGAGGCCCTGAGATTGAGAAATATGCATACCAACCATGGAGATGAGAAGGTTATTCTTTACATGGTGTATCAAAAGTCAGGTCCCATAAACCAGAGGTCCCCAACTTTTTGGGCACCAGGGACCAGTTCTGTGGAGAGAGGTTTTTCCACGGACTGGAGGGCATGTGGTTTTATGTGCTGCCTGTATCTTGCGGATGGGGCTTTGCTTGTTCGTGTGGAGTGGTTTCTGGCATGCCGCGGCCTGGTACTTGTCCATGGACCGGGGGCTGGGGACCCCTGCCATAGACAATCTAAAGGAAATATCACATTATAATTTAGGAAATTTAATCTCACATCTTCTAATCATAATATCCTTGTATAATATGTGACAATACATGATCCTAGAGTAGAATTGTATTTTTGAACGTTATACTATGTTTGTTTATAGCCAGAAGAAATGTTCCTAAAAGAGGGGGGCGGAGAGACTGCTAGCACTTTCACTTGAAAATGCAAACTGTCATTTGCAAAGATAAATCAGGAAATGAAAAGTCATATAGACTTCTAAAATCAGATGATTTGATCATGTGTTAGGATATTTTTCCAACATTGAACGGTTTGTTGATCAGCTTCCTGAAAATATCCTTAAAACTGGTTTGACAGGCTGCCATTTCTAGAATTGTAGTTTTTGTTTACTTCTTACGTTTGATGTAGGCTTTGCTGTTTTGATAATCTGTTTTGCTATATCTGTGACCAAACTGATGAGCTAGTCTTTGTTTTCCCTTGGTTTGACATCGTATTTGAGACTAAGTGAACCTCTCTCCATCACAGTCTCTGGGTTGGTGATGTTATTACATTTCTGGGGAACCATCTCAGGAAAATTATTACCATGTCTAAGCTGGCTGTTCTCATAAAATTGCAAACCTACCATAGGAGATTCCTGAATCTTCATTAATGAAAATGTGGTAAGCTAATATGACCTGAGGTTTTAACCAGACTTATTATGCTTCATTGTATAGATCATTCTAGGTTGTTTGTGCCAAAGAGCTGCCATGGAATAGAGTAAGTTTTTGAGTATTAATACAAAAGGACATGATATATCTCAATGATTTAAAAATCAAAAAATCAAAATGTATATACTTGAGGTTTCAGATAGACTGGCAAATTTATAAAGAGATTTTTAAAAATAATTATAAATATACAACAATTAACCAACCAATGGATCTTAAGAAGCAGCCCACCATTTTTCATACCAGTAACTTCAAACTAAACTCATAAGTGTTCCCTTTTTAAAAAAAGAAAAAGAAAAGAAAGAAAAAAAATGAACTGGCATTCTGCTTCTAAGACTGAATTTCCAAAATACTTGCAAAGTATATAATCATGAAAATAAGTGAAAAGTAAATACACCCTTCTGATTAGTAACTAACTCTTGTGCTTAAAGTTTGTTCCAGACAACTGCTATTTGGAGATAAACATAAATCAAGCATCCAGAAGTATTCAGAGTCAAAAGGAAGGGGATTAAAACAAGCAAACAATCAATAATATTCATTAAAAGCATTATACTTTTCTGTGAAGTAGAGTAGGAGTACTTTTTGTGTTGGTTTCATGCCCTGAGTAATGGCAATAATGGCTGCATTTAGGGTGCGTTTGATGGATATAGTCCACAAAAGCTTAAATCATAATAAACTTAACTTTAATGGATCATGAGACTTCGTTTTTGCTGCAGTCATCATATATAACTACTCCTTTGGAAACTTCATCTTATGAAACCATGCATTCCTTGCTATCTATTTTGATACTAGTAAGCACAGAAAAATTAAAAATAAAAAATAAATAAAAAACAGCCTCTCAACAAGGATAATAATCAATATGTATGATATGCAGAAGGCTAAAATGTAGAAAGTTGTTTAGACAGGGGGAGGCTTAAAATGTGATCCTACACTTCATATCCTGCATGTTTTTTTATATCAAAAAATAGTCTGGAAACAACAAAGGAACTATCCATTCAGTGATGAGTAGTGATAATATTTACTAGAAAGTAGAAAAGTTAGCACTCATTATTTCCTAACATTTACATTGTAAATATTACACTCAAGTCAGTTTGATTTTGTTGGCAATAGCATAGTTTCTCCATGTGATGTTATTTAAGGGATGTCAAGAGTTCCCTGTGATCATAGAATTTCTAGCTCCAGCATACAGCCATTTCTAGAGTTCCCTTGGAGAAAATTATGAAAGTTAAACTATTTATAGATGGAACTTGCAGATATATGTGCAGGTCACTTAAAGAGAAGTGATCCCTACTTGACCTTTCACTGGATTCTGATGTTTTCCTGACTAGGTTTACACTAAACCAGTCTTCCCCAATTTAATTTTCTTGAGCTATAGCTCAATTTAATTTTCTTGGGCTTTAGCTCCACGGATGTCTATTTGCAACCCACAAAATGCAGATGGAGCATTCTAGAACCCCAGCATCCTGGAAGGGCGTTAGAATGATGAAAAGTACACTGTAGAATAAAAGCATACATTGATAAAATATTGATCAATTATTAGGCAAGAATTTCACTATCACCAGGCAACACAAGTGCACTTTTTTCAGTTATCCTGGAGTGAGGGTGACTCTTTCAAATGTTTGGCATGAAAATCTTCAGCAATGCCTGCATTAATGATTAACCATTTATGGATTCCCCTTATCCCCAAGAGCTGTTGACGTAAGTTAGAGTCATTCGTAGACTAAACAATTAAAAGTAACTTTTATTGACCTATAAAGGGTACACTTTATAGGTTTTGTCAGTGAGATGTGAGCACGCCAAACTATTTGGATCCTAGTATAAGTAGTCCCAATGTTTATGGTGCTGACTATGTATACATTCACTTTAAAAGATTACAGCCGTTCTGAACTCCCAAATATTGCAGCACCAGTTTGTGAGTGTAGGTCATCACCTATCTTGATGAAGATGACAAATAGAAAGTGATAATCTTTTTGCAATCTGCACAGGATCTGGATGCCATCTTCTGTAATCCAGGAATCATGAACCTATGGCTTTCTAAATGTTGCTCAACTTACTGGAGTTGAGAGATCTCCCACCATTGTCCATGATGTCTAAGGCTGATTACAGTGGTAAGTCAATGACATTTAGAAGGTTGTAATTACCTATCTTTATTTGACTCTACTTTACACAAAAGTTGGGCTTTGTTGATGCTCTTTTTGTTTATTTTTTTTAGTGCAAAGTCACCAAAACTTTAAAAATGTTTTAAACAACTATGACGCAAGAGTTTTCTTGCCAGAACAGTGGCAACATAATCTAGAACTGGAGGAATCCTTGGTATCTTCCATATAATGGTCAGATCATGCCCTAATAATCATTCTGGCACTGTCTATGACTCAGGGAGGGGGGACCCATTAGATTGGTGCAACCCCAGTGACCAATGGAATGTGATAGGTTCCAGAGGGTAGCTGGGGGTTATTCCAGATGGCTGCATGATCCAAATAAAGCCTCGACCATCACTTGGAATGAGCAGACAGCTGAGGCCTTGGATTGGATTGTGCCCAGGCAAACCTCTCCCTTCTTGTGTAATCCATCACTCTCTATGTTTCAGAAGAGCTGAGGGAGAAGACATGGGAGAAGAGATGTCTAGAACACCATTGGAAGGGATCAAACACAAACGAGAGCTGCTATTAAGGCCTATTTTGTGTCATTAAGGGCTGTAATTCTCTGCCCTTGTTGTGTCTAAAGATAGCCAACTGGCAGCCTTGTTTAAGATGATCCAAGCCCTCTAGATGAATGGGGACTCAGAGGTTTGCCTACAAGGTCGTTGGAAGAATTTGCAGAACATCTATCAGACAAAAATCACTCAAATTCATTCCAAGCTGGATGCCACATTTGGTGCAGGTACATGAGATATGACTGAGGTACAGTCTTTCTCTGTTATCTGGGAGCAATTTGATTTTGTTGGGCTTAAGGAAGTGGACAGGATCTTATGACTGTGAACTCAGTCACCTGCTAAGACCGACGCCTCTCCTGGCTAGTTAAGGCTGCCTGGGGGGGGGGGGATGTTGTATGGTTGGATCCTAGCAGCTGTTAATTCTTCCTTGAAAGAGAGTTGTCCCATCACCCTTTAAGGAGGCAATGTTTTGTCCCCTCCTCATAAGCCATTACTGGATCCCACCATACTGGACAATTTTCATCCAGTTGTTAAACCTCCCCTTTTTAAAGACAAGGTTATAGAGAAGGTGGCTCTGCAGCAGGTTCAGCACCTAGAGGAAATGGATTATCTGGACAAGTTAGGATTCAAGCCTGGGCATGGGATGACAGCAACTCTGGCAGGAGCAGGGCAGGGGTAGTATCCCTGTCCTTGCCTCAGTCTTCGATATCATTGATCATGGTATCCTTCTGAATTGGTGCTGTGGCTGGGGAGTGGGTGGCACACTATTGCACTGGTTCATTCCTTTCTTCAGGGTCAGTATTAATCAGTGTTAGTTCTCCCATGGTTTTGGATTCTACTTTTTTTATATTTTATTTATGTGAGCTTGTCATGTAGTTTTAATTGTTGCTATATTTCTAAATTGCCCAGTCACATTTTCATGAGAAAGGAGGCTATAAAATATGCTAAATAAACAAACAAACAAATAATAAAAAAGAAAGTAAAAACAAACTGACCAAATAATAATATTTCTTATATTTAAGCTACTATGGCAGCAAATATTGCCTCAGTTACTCCGATTATGTTTTCTAAAGAGAAAGCAGACCTGCAGAAGGATTGGGCTAACTTGCTTGCAGCAACAGAGATAAATCCCATTCTCTGATGGGAATTATGTCTGTGGTAGCCTGAAGAACATCCCATAATTTGAAGGGAGATATGTATCTTCTGTGTGCAGTTTCTACAGAGCAAGTTTCTGATGTCATTTTATGAAAATTGCTGGGTTAATCTTGGCTGAGTCTCTTGTTTTTCATCCAAGGTTTATTAAAGTCTTCTGTTTATTAAATCTTTCTGATTTAAGAGATGCTGTTGTGTCATGTGCTGCTGTTTCCAGCACACTGCCCCTCAGCCACTCCTACTTTATTTTTTACAAACAAGGAAATTGCGAGTTGCCTTCTTCTCCTCCTCCTCCTCCCGGACTCACCCTTTCAAATTACTTATGCAAAGAACATTTTATAAAGCTCTCGGGACATTTCAGCCTTCTTTCACTCTCAGATGTTTTTGGACAGCCTGGCATTCTGAAAGACGCTGCAGTGTTAGAGTCTTGCCTGTCTTAGCTTCTTAATGCCAACTGAGTGAGGGTGAAACATACAGGGAAAACTAGATGGTAATAGAAAGGCACTGGTGTTTATTTCATGTCCAGAACCGGGGGGGGGGGCTGTCTGACTTTTTTTAGCTCTAGCACAGTAAAAATAATTTTGTGTATTATTTGAAGGATAAAAATACCACCTCTATGGGCCTGTGTTTATACAATCGTCTTCAGCACCCTCCAATTAGTTATTCCATCTCTCTCTCTCATGATGATGTATAATTTATACTCCTGCAGTGAAAGTTTTTGAAGTGGAATGTCAGGTCTTGTGAGTTATGAGGGCAAAGCCTTAAAATTACCCTCTTAGGCCCCAGGAGATATCATTAGCGAACCCTTAGATCAGTCTGCAAAGTCTGCCCTCATCTTTTTTGTATTTACCTTCATTTTTGAACCAGTGACCTAGCCCCACAAAGGATCTGGTGGTCATGGAAGAATCCCTGGGCAAAAAACTGGGAAGAACACTTTGGCTGTGGGAGAGCAATATTCTTACAGGGCAATAGGTAGCTAGGACGTAATTTTCAGAGCACTTTTATGCTCTTGGGCAACTTGGCACATGCTTTTCTGGCTGAAGCAATTACTGAAGGAGACAGAAAAAAGAGGAGGATTGGAAAGTCAGACATGTAGAGATTTGATAGATTTGACAGAGGAGAGTGAAGTCTTCACTGAAACCAGCTACCTGATAATTTGGAAAGCAATATTTCTAAAAACAATTGGGACATTTTGTGCTAATGCCAGAAAAAGGAAGAGGATAGAGATCTGGTTCCCTTCTGTGTCCAAGGACAGTACTCCTATCTCCCAATTCTTCCATGGCTAGTAAATGAAACTTAAAACAAAGATTAGGGCATTAGAGGAGTTAAATCATTGGTTAGATGGGAGGAAATCAAATGGGATTTTAATCTGAGCTACAACAGAATGAACTGTCCCAAAGGCTTATTGCTTTATAAGTCTTTAAAACACAAATCTGAGCTCTTAATAAATTGTATCAGTGTTTCTAATAAAGAGTACCTGATGGCCTTTTGTTCCCTTTTTATTAACTCAACTTTTTAACACTCCCATGAAAGTGCCATTCTTTTGGAATAACACAATACAGGTGTGAGTTGAGTGACAGAAGCAATTCCTTATACAGGAAAGAACTGGAACCAACATCCTGGAGCACTAGGGAAGTACATGAGGATTGGAAAAAGGCTGATGTGGTTTCCATCTTCAAGAAAGGGGGGGAAAAAAACAGACCCAGGAAACTACAGACCAATCAGTCTAACATTAATACCTGGGAAGATCCTGGGAAAAATAAGCAAAAAACAGATCTGTAAACAATTAGAAGCAAACAAAGTTACAACTAGCAGACAGCATGGGTTTGTTAAAAATAGATTATGCCAAACAATCTTATTTCATTCTTTAATAAAGTGACTAAATTAGTAAACCACGAAATGCTGTGGACATAGTATACCGTATATTCCGGCGTATAAGACGACTTTTGAGAGCGATGAAACAGCCTCCGAACTCGGGGGTCGTCTTATACGCCGAGTCATAACGTTTATTTATTTATTTATTATTTCCGGCGTATAAGATGACGTTCTAGGCATGCGACTCGGTGTCGATCATCTTATACGCCGGAAATGACGTCATTTCCGGCGTATAAGATGATCGACACCGAGTCGCATGCCTAGAAAGTCATCTTATACGCCGGAAATAACGTTATAAACTACGTTTATTTCCGGCATATAAGATGACTTTCTAGGCATGCGACTCGGTGTCGATCATCTTATACGCCGGAAATGACGTTATTTCCGGCGTATAAGATGATCGACACCGAGTCGCATGCCTAGAAAGTCATCTTATACGCCGGAAATGACGTCATTTCCGGCGTATAAGATGATCGACGCCGAGTCGCATGCCTAGAAAGTCGTCTTATATGTGACTCGGCGTCGATCGTCTTGCGACCCGGCGTCGAACTCGGGGGTCGTCTTATACGCCGGGTCGCCTAATACGCCGGCATATACGGTACTTAGATTTCAGTAAGGCATTTGACAAAGTAAACCACAACCTGCTGCTTAGTAAGCTAGAAAAAGGGGGGATAGACAACATCACCACCAGATGGATCTGTAGCTGGCTGACAAACCATACTTAGCGAGTAGTCCTCAATGGTACTACATCCATATGGAAAGAAGTAAGCAGTGGGGTATCACAAGGCTCCGTCTTAGGCCCAGTGCTCTTTAATAGCTTCATAAATGACTTAGATGAGGGAATAGAAGAGGAACTTATCAAATTTGCAGATGACACTAAACTGGCAAGAATAGCCAACACCCATGAAGACAACCTCAGGATCCAAAAAGATCTTGACAAACTTGAACGATGGGCCCTATCCAATAAAATGAATTTCAGTGTGGAGAAAAGCAAAGTTTTACATTTAGGCAGAAAAAAAATCAAACGTATAAGTACAGATTAAGCGAGACTTGGCTCAAAAACAGCAACTGTGAGAGGGATCTTGGAGTCCTAGTGGACAATATCTTGACTATGAGCCAGCAGTGTGCAGCAGCAGCCAAAAAAGCTAATACAATCCTGGGTTGTTTAAACAGAGACATAGAATCAAGATCATGCAAAGTATTAGTACTGCATTATAAAACCCTAATAAGACCACACCTGGAATACTGCAACCAATTTTGGTCACCATGCTATAAAAAAGATGTTGAGACCTTGGAAAAAGTTCAGAGAAGAGCAACTAAAATGATCAAAGGCCTAGAGACTAAAACATATGAAGAATGGCTGCAGGACTTGGGTTTGGGTAGTCTAAAGAAAAGAAGAAACAGGGGTAACATGTTAGCCGTATTCCAGTATTTGAGGGGCTGCCACAAAGAAGAGGGCATCAACTATTCTCTAAAGCACCAGCAGGCAGGACAAGAAACAATGGTTGGAAATTGACCAAAGAGGGAAGCAGCCTGGAATTAAGGAGAAACTTCCTAACAGTGAGGACAATTAAGAATGGAACAGCTTGTCTTCAAAAACAGTGGGTGTTCCATCACTGGAGGTTTTTAAGAAGAGACTAGACAGTCACTTACCTGAAATGGCATAGGTTCTCCTGCTTGAGCAGGGGACTGGACTAGAAGACCTCAAAAGTCCCTTTCAGCTCTGTTATTCTATTCTATTCTATTCTATTCTATTCTATTCTATTCTATTCTATTCTATTCTATTCTATTCTATATCCTTTATTTTAGAAAGCTGTCCTTTAGATTTATTTACTTTTCAAAAATTCATTTTTTTCCGTTATTTGGTCATTTAACTTTTACCGTATAAATGGAACCACTTAATGCACAAACATTCACATTCATGTGAAAAGTATAGAAACTGAATTATCTTTTAAAAACAGATTTAAAAATACAATTTGATTTTTGAAAACTTTTATTAGAATATGTGTTTTTTACAGTTTTTCTTGGTTTTGCTGTGCTTTACAAATTTTCCTTTGTAAAGAAAAGTTATAAACTTAAACAATTAAAATTATGTATCCTTATGAACCTTTTTCAGATTTGACCTTTCTTAGGTGTGTCCTTTATTTTTCCGCAGAAATTATGATCACTATATTTATAGTATATTCCTTACTATAGAACTTACTATGTGCATTTATTATTTTCATTTTTAAAACACATATACTACTCTTAAAAATGCTGTTCAAGCTCCTGTGATATAAGCACACCTCGCCTTTGAAAGCTTGTGCCACAATAGATTAATTTCCATTTAAAATGCCACTTTGTTCTATGTAATCTAATGAGATTAATTTCTGTATAGGATCACATTGCAATACTTTCTTTGTGATCTTCTTGTTGGCAACACAAGAACAAACCAAAACAAAGGAATTAACATCAAAATTTTCTGAACCACAAACCAATCCTAAGCACCTCTACTAGTCTTAACTAACCCTAACCCTTTATAAGCAGAGAATGGCAGAGAGGTAGGAGGACGTAAAAGAGATATGTAAAATCATGTTGTGGAAAATGTGGAGTTTTTCTCCATGTCTTGCAAGGTTACGACCTGGAGTCAACTGTTCAAACTATCTTCAGGAAGACTGTGAAAGTGCTTACAGTATTTCCACTTAATCTATCTTCTCCCTTGACCCCATGGCATTGCCTTTAACTCATCACTAGCCTTTTGCTGAGTTAAGTGCTAACCACCTAATGTTGAGCTGGCAAAAAATAATGCCAGCATGAAATTTGCTGCCCACATTGCTGATCATTATCCTGTATCTGTTTTGACTGAACAGGTATTTTGTTTTTATGTGTGCAGCATGTAATAAACAATAAGGTTATTTGTTGCCCCCTTGCTTTGCTGTTTTTTTTTTCTTCTTCTGCGCATCACTAGTGGTGGGGGAAAACATCCACCATCACAGCACAGTGGGAGAATTGGGATAGGAATGTGTCAGGATTTTTCCATCACATCTAAGCCATTTTCTTTGATGTCTGCCTCCATCCTAACATAAGATGATGATGATGAGGAGGAGGAGGAGGAAGATGAGGAGGAGGAGGAGGAGGAGGAGAAGGAGAATGTAGTGGTCAGAGTCAAGTAGGGAACTCAGTCACAAGTAGTATTTTTCTTTTGGCTCCTTCCTTCCTTCCTTCCTTCCTTCCTTCCTTCCTTCCTTCCTTCCTTCCTTCCTTCCTTCCTTCCTTCCTTCCTTCCTTCCCTCCCTCCCTCCCTCCCTCCCATGCTGATATCTATATTCCTTCATGCTCTGTTTTGGACACAGTCAGGGAAAAAAATTAATCCCATCTTTCCACTCTTACGCTATTTCAATCTTTTGCTAGATTGGTAAGGACCACAGGGGTTGATGCACTTGTGGTACTGCTGGCTGAACAATTCCAGTGTTATACAGTTTTGATAGGCCAGCTGCACAGAGTTGCTGTATCTATTTCTTTAGAGAAAGAAGACACAAATGGCAAGATCTAATGGCAAGAACAGAGTCTAAAGAAGAGGAACCCCTGCCTTTATGAACCCAAATGTCCAATAAGCCACACTCTGATTCCACCCACTACTGGTCACTTGACTGTGTTTTCAGTAATGGTGGCAGGCAGAGAGGAACTGATGTACATCCTGTGTAAGTGTTATTGAAATGATATTTTAACTTTAATGCAATTAAGAATGTTTAAATGTATCTCATTCATGGGCTGGAGAAAAGACAAAAATAACATTATAGGAACATCATAGAAAAAAGATATTGCCAAGAAATATTTATGTTGTACTTAGATGCCACTGGAGAGAGGCCCTATGATATTTTAAAATCAATGTTAGCTGAATGTTATAAAACATTTTCTTTTTTTTCCTGTTTAATTTCAATAACATTTATTTATTCCATGTGCATAGCTGTCTATTTGCCAAATGATTCTGTGTGGCCAACAGAGAATTAAAAGCATCACAATATGAGAAGATGACAATAATATATATAAAAACACTATGCTAGGGACAAAAATAATGACAACAAACTCTTAAGGCTTAGTCTTGTGCAGCCAGAATTATCCCCTCTGCTTCTTTCTTCAGCTCTCCTACCCTCAGCCATTGCAAGGTCTTGCTTTTATCTGTTTTAAAACATTTTCCATCTTATTGCAACATGTCCAACAATGGCCTCAAGGTGTGTAAAATGTTTTAGGCTCTACCATTCATTCTCTTGAAGAGAAGTCATTACCAGGAACGCAGGGAATTCTGTAGAGCAGTGTTTCTCAACCTTGGTCACTTTAAATGGTGTGGATTCCAACTCCCAGAATTCCCCAGCTGGCGTTGCTCTTAACATTTCGATATAGAGGTGGTCCTCATCTCACAAGCATCTATTTAATGACTGTCCGTTGGCATTGAAAACAGTGACTTATGACACTTTTCACACTTGCGACCACTGCAGCATCTCTTTGGTCATGTGATCAAAATTTTGGATGCTTGGCAACCGACATGTATTGATGACAGTTGCAGTGTCCCGGGGTCATGTGATCACCTTTGGTGACCTTCTGACAAGCAAAGTCAATGGGGAAGCCAGATTCACTTAACTGCCGTGTTGCTATCTTAACCACTGCACTGATTCACTTAACAAGTGTAGCAAGAAAAATCGTAAAAGTCACTTAACAACTGTCTTGCTTAGCAACGGAAATTTTGGGCTCAGTTGTGGCTGTAAGTCAAGGCCTACTACTAATTCGATTCTAATTCGATTCACCAGTATTGCTTTTGAAGAGAAAGGTACCTCTTTTGCCCTGAATTGCACACGCAGAAGGGAAGAACTCTTGAAAGTACCCTCTCTGCTTTAAGAATAACAAGGTAGGGGGTGGGAGGAGGGAGGGAGGGAGAAGCAAAACTTTGGGCGAAGAAGAGTTCCTTCAGGAAAGAAAATAACAAATGGTACAGTATATGCTTAGTTGGCAAGCCACAGCAGTCACTGAAACCTTCTTCACTTAGGAAGAAAAAAAAAATCAAGACTGGATATATTCATGGTTTGCAACAATTGGCCTTGAAGTTCCTTTTGTAGACAGAGGGTCCTTTTATGTTTCCTACCTCAGAGCTTAGCTCCTATTATTATTATTATTATTATTATTATTATTATTATTATTATTATTATTATTATTATTATTATTATTATTATTATTATTATTATTATTATTTAAAAAGTGTTGTTGCTTGTCTTGTTCCCGGTCCTTGTGTGACCTTTTTGTCTTCTTTTTCCTCCTTCATTTCTAGGAATTCCAGCTGTTGACAGCGGCAAAATGTTCTTTCTTTGCAACCTCAAGGGAGAGGCTCTGGGGCCCAGCCAGGAGGCTATAGAATGAATTCTCGGCATAACAGGTTATATAACCGGCTCTTTTGAAAAAGGGGAAGCGAGCAGCAGCAGCGGCAACAACAACGCCCCATTGTATCTACAAAGACCAACAATTCCAGCAAGCCACCCAGATGCAGACTGCCCTTTGCCTTGGGTTTTATTTACTTCTCACTGGCTGGATAGAAACGGCTGGGCTGTTTTCTGTTTGCGGGCTCTCCCCCTTGGCAGTCGGTCGGGCTTGCCTTAACAGCGCCTTGTTAAACGGAGCCTGGCGTCCTCAGTCAGAGGGAGGGGAGATGATTTATTCTTACTGAGCGAGGATTGTCTTTCCCGGCTGTTGGCTGGCGTTGTTTCTTTTCTGTGCGGTGGCTCTAAAGGCATCAGCTTGTGCCAACTGCATTCCAAGAAGGGAAAGGAAGCAAAAGGCCAGGCTGAGCACAAGGAAACATGCTCGAACTGTAAGAGGAGAAAGGAAGAGGCGAGGCCCCTGGGGAAAATGCAAAGTAAAATCTCCTTTCTCTGCTACCTCCTTGTTTACATTAGGTGATTTATGTTGGGTACTTTCTAAAAAAAGAACGCTACGTTTTCAGCCTGTGCATTGTTGGAATGAAATGGAGCAATGGGGGGGGGGGGGCAGAGAAATCTTTACAACTTAGTGACAAAGCACCTGCCTGGCATGTAGAAGATCCCAGCCTCACTCCCTGGCGATTCCTTTTAAAAGGAGCAGGGAGAGAGAATCTGCTAGGCGCAAGAGCCGGACTTTCTCCCAACCAACAGACTCAATCCTGTTGGATTTTGATAATCCCTGGCCAATTCCTAGGTTAGGGACAACTGGGATAATCCAAAAGAACTGGACAAATCCTCCAATTCGCTATGAGGCAATTATGCCCAGCTACAGTTTGCCCAGTTTCTTCATGCCCATTCAAGTCAATCATGACCCAGAATTAGAATTCATTAGAAATCAGAAAACATTTCATTGGCATTTTCAAAATTTAGCCTTGGTGAATTCAATCCTATCAAGGCTGTCTGTACAACTTGCTCAGTGGCACAAGGAAGCAGATCAAATTTCTGTTTACATAATATCACTGAAGAATGATTGATCAATGTATCTTGTTTCATCTGTAATAAAATCATTTTAAGGATTATGTAAAGGAGAATTTAGAAATCCATGTTGAAATATGGGTTTCAGGAATAATCGGGCACCACCCAGTAATGAATGCAAATATATATTTTTCAATTACTGTATATAGTAGGTTCATTGCCAATAATAGATTCAAAGGGAAGTGGTGCGTTATTTCAGATGTGCTAGTTATCACTAGTTATACCACAATTTATTTGGTCAAATAGTTAGCTAAGTCATAAACCATGGTTTACAAACCATAATTCATGTAAAACACTAAAACCAAGCAGAGGACAATATAACCCAGCCCGTCATTCATTATTATTTACTCTTCAGTGCAATAATTTCCCCAGATTTCAAGAAGGGATTTTGGCCTGAGGAGTTTCTTTTTTGTCTCATAATTAACTGGCTTGGACTAGCTTGTTAATTAAAGTGGTCACCCTGAGAGGCCCACTCTTTGTGTATGCTTTTTGTTTGCTGTGGCTATGCTGACTTCACCATGCAGTTATGCCTAAATGTTTGCCCAGCTGTTCAATTGGAAGGAGACATTTTCTCATTTACTGGCTTTGCAATATTGGTGCAGAGATGATTCTCGAAAGCACTGGAACAAAGGGGACCGCAGGGCACCACCTGCTTTGCCTTCTTCACAAAACAAACCATTAGACTCTAGGCCAAGCAAAGGATAGAGAAACCTTGGTCACATCTGTGGCCCTGCAGGTTGCAAGAAAGTGTATTGTGTTTCCCTGGTGGCCTTTTTTTGCACTGCTGACTTCATGGAAATATGGCTGAATGGCTTGAAGTGTAAACAGCAGCTGAATACAGTCCAGAGAACAAAAGAAGTTCCAGGCACACCTGGCAGCCAGGGTCTCCTGTTGCTTAGTTCTGGAAATATTGAATAGAGGCCAAACTAGATGCAAAACAGCCAAGGAAATTGGCACAGTGATTGCAGAATGGAAAGAACCCTGGGAGGAACAGACAGAAAATTTGTTGGTGGAGACTTATCTGTTGAATTCTCTAACAGACCTAGTTTGAAGCAGATAGCTACCTGAGTCATTTGTACAGGAGCCATTTTCCCTTTAGTGACGTAAAGCACCTTCTCATGTCACCTGACCATACAGAGGTGATACAAAGCTATCTAAATTACTGTCAGCTCAGCAATGATGGCTCTATAATTTGAGAAGATGCTATAAGTCAGTGATGGCGAACCTTTTAGAGACCAAGTGCCCCAAAACCACCCTGCCCCCACCCCCATCACTCCTCATCCGCTTCACCTCTGCCCCGCCCTGCCCCCACCCCACCTGCCGGACCACCCACCACCTCCACAGCCCGCTGAAGATCATTCAGGCGGCCCTGCAGCGCCATGGTGGCCACACCATCCATGCCCCGCATCATCTGAGTGCGATGGGGCGCAAGGGCATAATCTTGTCCCTGCTGCCCAGCTGCTTGTCTGCGCTGCTTTGCACCCAGAGGGGATTGCTGAGGAGGGGGCTGCAGGGGGAGGCAAGGCTGGAGCGATGGCGCGCGTGCCCATAGAGAGGGCTCTGAGTGCTGCCTCTGGCACGCGTGCCATAGTTTCGCCACCACTGCTATAAGTCATTAATAGTGATCCTGTTGGAGTCAAAAGCATAGCTGACCATATCAGCTGAGACTAGTCTTCTCTGAACTAGTGATTTATTGAAGTAGATCCAGGAATAGGTTTTTCAATATTTCTGACAATGTAATTGGATGGATTTTTTTTTTCCTGAGGGAAGGAGAAGTTTGACAAAGATTTCTCCCAGGAGTCTCCAATAGCAGTAGCTAATATGGTATCATGGGAATGGTATTATGAAAAGCCAGGGAAGTTTCAGATTGCTATTCAACTATTCAATGAAAAGCATGAGATTTATACACATCCTGAAATTTAAATCAGTGTAAGAACAACAACCATAAGATTTTTTTCTGAAATTCTCTTTTCCTTTGAAATAATTTCTAAAGCACATTTTGCCTCATAAAATTCTGTGAGAATTGGTGGAAAAATGCACAGGACATTTTTTCTGCACTATTGAGATGGGTAATACCAATTCCTTAATCAGAAAAACCTGATGCCTGATAGAACAATCCAGATATCTGGAAGACTTGGCTAGGTAATGAATACAACTTTCCAGATTTAAGGAAGAAAAAGAATGCCACAAAGAATTCTGGGTAGATTGGTGTAAATCCTGAAGGCCAGCTCAGAGATTGGAAATAACTGGGTAGAAGACCAATTTTATACTTGGAATGAATCAGACAAGAACAAGCACTGTAGACAGATGACAATATGGCAGGGCTGTGAATGACAGGCATTGCAATGCAGTTCATTTAAATAATATTAGTTTGGTGAATGTTGCTGCAAACTAAGGCCAAGAAGAAGAAAAGTATTTGGGGAGGCAACACTATCTATAGCTCAAACACCTTTTCTTTCTGCACATACATATTCTGAAGCAAAAGAGATGTGTTGTAAAAACAAAGTTTAGGAAATTAGTGGAAAAGGTCTAGGTAACTGATCTGGTACCTGCTAAGAACATTTTCAGTTGAGTTACTTGTATAGCTTTTAAGACTTGAAAAAAAAATGCTTAAACTAGGGGTCTTCAAACTTGGCCCTTTTATGACTTGAGGGCTTCAAATCCCAGAATTCCTCAGCCAGCATGCCTGGCTGAGGAATTCTGGGAGTTGAAGTCCACAAGTCATAAGAGGGCCAAGTTTGAAGACCCCTGGTTTAAACAGTATGAACATGATTTGGCAGTAGTTTAGGTGTTTGAACCACACTCCTTCCTTTATTTACATCATGATCATGCATTTTATTCCATTTTTCATTTATAAAGAAAGGCTTTCTTTCACTAGTTGAAATGTCAAGTAATCCTTTGGATTCCAAGGTGAGGTTTCTGTTCCTTTTCCTCCACTGCAGGAATATAGTACAGGTTAGTTTACCTCTACTGAGAAACAGCCAGTATACTTGAGCCTCTTGCCAATGTATGTTGAAGTGTCTTGGGATGTGACTATGCATTGGTGCCACATGGAGCACAAACACTGAGTACTTCTCAAGATTGGCAGTAAAACAGTTGTGTGCTATTCTTTAGAAGACAGAACACATGTGGAAGAATCAGATAAGAGTCATGCTTTAAATTGTTTGGTCACTTTTTGGATGAGATAACAGTTATTTTTTATGATATGATTGTGTAAACTTTCCCAACTCAGTGGCTCTAGATCAGTGTTTCTCAACCTTGACAATTTTAAGGCATGTGGACTTTAACTCCCAGAATTCCACAACCAGCCATTCTGGGAGTTGAAGTCCACATGCCTTAAAATTGTCAAGGTTGAGAAACACTGCTCTAGATAAATAGAAACTACAATTTCTAGAATTCTAGATAGCATGCCTAACTTGAGGAATTCTGCTCCTGTGCCAGACTATAAATGCAACGAATCCTCAAATTCCAGACTAGAGAACAGAGAATGCAGGCATGAGTGTGTAATTGCACTCTAATCCTGCTTGTAGGCATTCTGTTCACATTTGTTTAGCTAGCTGAGGTTTTGGTTTTTACTGTCTGAATAGAATTTCTTCATCTTTGCTTGTGAAGTTTATAATCAAATTGATGTTGTTGTTCATCTGGTGTTATCAATGTATAAAATAATTTTTAAATTATTGGAAGAATATTTACTATACAAAATATTTGTTATAAAAATTATTATAAATATTAAATGTTCTTGGCAGAGCTCTATTAGGCTTATCTCTTTATTTTGTACCACTAAGCCAAATATTCCAGTTATTCTAGATATTATTTCCAGCTTTCAGTCTCCTTTAATTAATGTTGACCTCTTTTGTTGGAATTATGACAACAACATGCTACACGTCACAGAACCATTCTGCTTTCTGTGTAGAAATGGTCTACATTTAGTCCCAATTAATTTGAGGCTGGAACATAGATCTAGATCCCTATATAATAGTGATTAAAGTACATTTTTGCCTAGTGTGGAAAAGTACAGTAGGTGAACATCTTTATGATTTGAATTGTACAAGTAATCAATATGTGCTTGAAATCTTCATTTGTAATATTCCTCTCATCTGGGTGTTAACTGAGTTAAGTCAGGGGTCCCCAACCCCTAGTCCCTGGACCAGTACTGGGCTGCGGCATGCCAGCAACTGGTCCACACAAACAAGCAAAGCCCCATCAGTGAGATGCAGGCAGCACACAAAACCACACCCCCTCTGGTCCACGTAAAAACCTTTCTCCACGGAACTTGTGCCTGGTGCCCAAAAGGTTGGGGACCTCTGAATTAAGGCACCTTTTAACAGGAATTGAAAAAGAAAAGCAAACACGCAGAGATCTTCAGAGGGTCCTCTTTGCTTCCTGCTTGTTGAATGGGATACCTATTCTTTACAATATTTTATTTCCCTTTGGAGGCAAAGAAGAGCTGATATGAAGTGCCCCTCAGGCTATTATTTTATCATAAGCCTTATTTAACTCTTTCAAGAAATAGCGGGAGGAAAAATATGGCTATGGAACAAAA